TATATATATATATATATATATATATATATATATATAGTTTGTGATTTGAAAAAGTCTTATTTTCATACTAGAAAATGTTTATTTTTGACACAAAGATTGACACAGGATCCAAGGACTCGTGTGACTAGTTGTTCAAAGTGCATGATAGTAAATATGTCTTTTGTTAATATTTCCAGATTTTTTTTTTTATTCTGAGGACTTTTTTTTTAAGCCAAACATTTTGAAAATGATGTTTTTGTGCTTGCTGTGTGAGTGTTGCTATGGTGAAGTGTTACCTGTTGTTTTCTTGTAAAGTGATTTCTCTTAGTACTTTAGATTGATCTTGCCGTCTGATTTAAAACTTGCCTTCATAGTTTTGATACAGTAGTTGTACAGAACACCACAGAAGAGCAAGAATAAGCAAAACAATGTCGAGAGCCGTTGCCTTGGAACTGAGCTTTATAGGACTTTTTAAATGAAATCAATGTTATTGCTTTTCCCCTCCAAACTGATAGAAAAGTTGAAGACATTTTAGGAAAACATTTTAAAAGAAATGACTTCACATGTGATGATTTTATTGAAGGTAATATTTATTTAGTAAGAAGACCGTACATGTTTCTGGATGTTGGAATGTGCTACCTTTTGAATCATGCCTTTTTGATTACTTGGCATTGTAAAATAGCTGATATTGAAATTGGTGGGGTGGGGGAAAGAGCAAATTTATTTTGTTTATTGGTTGTGTTTTTGTCTTTTTTGGGTGATGTTAATTGTTATTTTGATGGGGTGTGTCTTTTTCACTTTTAACTGAACAGCTAACAGGAAAACTTAGACTTACAATTGTGCAAAAAAACAACAACTCATCAAAGCCTTGTTGTAGAATTTAGGCAAAAGTTCAGCGAGTTGGGGGGTTAAATGAGAGGAATATGTATATTTTATTGCACCTCGCTCTTTGACAGGAAACAAACAAACTAGGCACTTTCAAATGTAGTTTACGTCACCAAAGATTGTGCGCTGAGAAAATCCTTTGTCTCTTTAACCAGGACATGAGTGACTCTGCAAACTAGATTGCAGTTTGGACAGTGTGCCTTTTTTGTACAATTACATTCAGTTTCATAGGTAATAGTAAGTACAGACACACACAAGCAGACAGGAAGCCCTGGATCCAACAAGAGATTAATTTCATACTTACTGAAAAATGGAAAAAAGAAAATAAATTTCAACTATAAAAAGATAGTGCTATGACCTTTTTAAAAAAAAAAAAAAAAAAAAAAAAAAAAAAAGTTTGATCATAGTGGATTAAAGCAGGCTTTTTGATTATGGTCCTCCAATAAGCCTGTGATTCGACCTGGTGGTCAGTCAGCTATCTACCTCAGAGTTTTCTTTCTCCTCTGTACTAGGTCGGGTTAGCAGGTCCAGCCCGCCCTTCCAGACCAAATGCCATGCTCAGGAGCTGGCCACATACAGCTATTTCCTTATAGGTTGTTTTGAATACTTTTTGATTTTTCCTTTAGACCTATTTTTTTATGATGTATTGTAGTAATCATTAGGGCGACAACATGTTTCTACTCATGTTCACACACACTCAGTTTCGTGGTTTTGAAAAAGCTGCTGCTTTTTTTTTTGGCGATAGATTCCAGAGGCTGATTTGAAAATGTTAAAGACCAACAATGTCAACAAAACGTTGTGGCGTTGACTGGATCTGTGCTCTTTTAAACAAACATGTTTGTTGCTTTGTCCGGGGGGGTCTAGGCAAACATGCGGCAGCATTTCCTTTGTAGTCAGCTTGGGTGTGAACCAATGTAAAGGGCCGCTGTGATTATACTCGAGATTTCTGTGTGAGGCCTGAGAAGTAATACTGTCTTGTGAGGTTAATGCTGCTAGTGGTGTCTGAACCAAGTGCCATAGTATCTGGGTCAAGAGTTGCAGAGGTGCACATAAGAAAAACTGCTCGTATAAGTATCCACCATGATGAACAGTCATTAAGTTATATGAAAAGAGTTCTAATTTATGACGATTGTTGTACAGACAGCTTGAGGAAATAAGAGATTTTCATAGAGCTATACATGAAAGTTTATTGATTTTATTTTTTTTAATCTCGTGCCACACAATTGCCAGTGGTAACTTGTATCTACAGTTTAAGGAATCATTCCTCTGTAAATTTGTTTTGTAGTGTTTGTTCAAGCCAAAGACTTTTGTTTTGTTTGTTGTTTTTTGCAGTAGAAGGTCACCGAAGGTTTATTCTTTTCATTTCTTTGGCATTTGTGAATAAACTTTTTCAAACTTTTCAACTTTTAATACATGCTTCCTCTTGTCTTTATTGTTGAGAGCTACTGTTCTTCATCCTGAATCCCGAGTACACCTGTTTTCCATTTTATTGAGTATAGCAGGTTGCTAACCTTGAATTGATGATTAGGTTATGTAAATACATAATTTGTGTTGTCATCCAGTAAATAGTTGGAACAATAAATTTGAATATGATGATGGCTGTTACTGGAGCTTGGCTGCAGCCTCAGAGGGCTGGACTACGAGCACGGTCTCTCACATTTTGATTTATGTTTAATAATAAGGAATCTGGCCTTAGCTGAATTTAGAAAATATGCATGCTTTCTTCAGACAGTTTGAAATATCTTGTTATTTTTGTTATTTTTAAACGTGGGGCGAATTAAAGATACTTGAGTGGTTTTCCATTGACAAGTTCAAAAACACAAAAATGGAAGAAGAAAAGAAACATCTGTTCAGGTCCCCCATCAACGCAGGTGCTGACAGAGGTCACTTGGCTGTCATTTTTCTCTGAGATAGCAGACTCCATTAATGTGACAGTGACCTCCTACCTCACACATACATGAACCAATATTTCAGAGATTCACTCCGTGAATTAATGAGCCATTATTATCTCTGGCAAGAAATAGTCTGCCATGGACGGAAAAGTAACTGTGATGTTTTCCTCCAAAATGTGGTGTAATCACAAGATTATTTAATTAATGACAAGATACAGACACTACACCTATTCCATATTAAATAGCTATCAGACAGTTTCAGTCCTCTATGCCATCAATGATAACTGATCTTAAGCGCTGCCTTGTTTTGGTACTGATAAAGTAAATGTATTCTGCAATCTGTGCAAGATGTTATTCCTCTGTTGAGTTGGTTTACAGTATTTAGGAATTGTCCGGCCATAGGGTGAGGACCTGGTAGGGATTAAACACTGTTACATGGTATTGTTGACAACATACGTGGCCTGGACATGGTGAGTTAGGGCTATCGGGAAGTATGGCGTACGGTGGGTGGATGGATGGGGGCGTCTGTGAGCAGGCCTTGCCATGGCAGATGGGTCCCCACGGTATCCTGCAGGGTGTTGTGCCACCCTACGGGAAGCCACCAGCTCCAGACGAGGAGCAAAATTCACGCTCCAGCTGTCTGTGTTTGTGCCACCTGCGCTTACAAGCAATGGAGTTGAAACCCCCTCTCCCCCCTGAAAGACAGCCACTTTCCCCTGAAGCTCTCTGCTGTCCCCTCCGTCCTCTTCTGCTCAGTAGGAAGCACCATCCAGCCATATAAAAGTAGACAATTTAACATTCATTTCAAATACATTTTAAATAATCCAATACATGTCATGGTTTTAATGTGTCATGGTAAATTATAGAAATGTGACGGGAGTCTTAAAACGGAATGCTTTTTCACCTGTTTTTCGATAGAGACTGAGGGAATAGAGGGGCAAAGCTTATAAGAGAGTCAATACAAAAACACTGGCATATATACGTCAGTTTAAAAATGAATATACACCAACACAATTTTCTTCTGGCAACAGCAAATTTAGAGCCTCAAACACGTTACCATTATGATCATGAGGTGGGCATTTAAAAAAAGACAACTATCCTTGTAAATAACATTTACTGGTAGAAGGCAGAATCTAGTTAACAATATCATCATAATATCAGCAATTATACATAACCACAGCATCAGACACATGAGTCAATAATAACCAGTTTACATTTTGGGTGTGTTACAAACAGCTTGCATTGTTTAGTATAAAACAATGCAAATCCAGACACTTCATTCAGATGAACACTGTGCGTACAGCATCACCTAGAGGTTTCTGTGTGCAAAATAAACTGTATAATTGTTTTGATACATAACCATACTAACACAATGGCTGAATTATCAGGAAACTTTTCCAAACATTGGCCTATGATTTCCTTTCATTGTCTGCGCGCTCGATTTTTGTTATAAATGATAGTGTACAAAGATGTGTTTGTTGGTGTCAGTTATGCTAAAGAAACGTAACAACAAGTATGATCACTAACTTGTAAACAAATCTAGGTGAAAATAGTGCAGATTGGTGGGTTTACGCTGTGTGTGTATCAGTGAAGGGATGAGGCCGTTTCTGTGCGTGCATGTGTGGGTGGGATCTCGCTCACGTTGCTGCTGCAGACACCAGAGTGGAGCAACAGTCAGAAAACTAGTTTGGTGCTACACGATCATTCGTCTTCGCTGTCATGGAGTCACTGAAAAGCAATCACCGCTCCCTGTCATTAATAGGCGGTGTCTTCGTGTTGTGTGTTCAGCTGCAGTTGGGTCTGACGGGAGGTAAGAGTTCTCAATCCTCGCTCTGAGCTGCTACATTTACGCGATATCCTTTTTTTGCAGGCATAGCTATGGTTGTAACCTTACACAGCCGATGAATTTAGCCTTGCGTAGGCCTTACAGTAACCCGCTGCGCTTGTATTTGTTTAGTGTTTCTGTCGACATCTCATGCTTTTCATTCCAGAGGGAGACGTATAACATTTTTACCGTAAATGTATCACTGTCCGCAAACTAATTTCCCTGAATGTCGACACTGTTGTTTCGCATATGGCAACTTTTGAACCAAAACGTAACGGTAGCGTCCACGGAACTACGTTTAAAGTTGTGCGCTAACCTATGTTGCGGAAAAAATCGTTTGCAAAAGTAATCAACACAAATTTAAAACCAGTTTTTTTTTTTTTTTTGTGCGTTGTTCTAGTAACTTGAGACCGACGACAACAAGTGGAACAGTCTAGAAATGCTTGACACCGTTTACCAAACACAGTCCGCACTGATTAAGAGGAACAGTGGTCACAAGGGCAGTTTCAACGTACAGTCTGTTGGGGGGGGTTTGTAGAATGGTAACTATCCAAACAGACATGACGCAAAGCGGTTGTAGCATCTTAAAATGGTGATTTGGATAGTTTAAGTCACATATTTCATGAGGTGTTTTTTTTTGTTTGTTAAAGTTCCCCCTGTGGCCTCTCCATCCTCCTACACAGATCCACTCAGCTAAAATAATTCTAGATGGGTCAGGGGTCAAATCTTTCCATGGTTTCTCCTCAGACTGCCCTGCAGATGGACGCACCTGGGTGCCGTTTGGAGACCGATGTTACCACTTCGTCCACGGAGAAGAAGACAAAATTAAAAGCTACACTTTCGAGAGGGCAAAAACCCTCTGCCAAGGATTTGGTACCAGGGACATCTTATTTTCAAATATTTTTTTTTTTTTTTTTTTTTTTTAAATGGACTGTATGTTTCCTCAATGTGTGTGTGATTTGGTTGTCATACATTGCTTTGCTTTTTTCCAGAGCTTTTGACCATCCAGAGCGCTGAGGAGAATGACTGTGTCATCAAATATAGCCCGGAGGTGTGGAAAAACAATGTCAACATTTGGCTGGGACTGTATTATGACACAAGCAGTAAGTACCATGTGACCGGAGGACTGTGAAAACATGCTGGATGACTTCCATAAGATAATATCTGATTTTCTATAACAATCAAAAAGGGAAAAATTACAACTTTTTAAACAATTCTTTGGAGATGACAAGGCAGAAAACCGACACTGAGGGTTTTTTGTTTCAGATGTTTGTAATATACAAGTAGTCAGTGTGAACTGGTAGTATTGGTTATCTATATATTTCTGAGTACTTTTCGGACTTCCTGTCCAAGTCCGCTTCGAAGTTAAGCGCGAAAGCCTTACTCTTGAGTAACTCGAGTAAAGATTATCTCAGATATTTTTCAGGTTTTTGCAGCCATGCTGTCTCAATCGCCTCCAAAACACAACAGCAGGTTAAAGTAAAAATCAAATGGATTTATTGTCCAAGAAGTATAGAAACAGATACAGACAGTTACAAACCGAATCACACTATTAATAACAAAACAAATGTATATATAAAATGAAAGTAAGATCCAATCCGAGCCACCCAGGAGGCTGGTCTGCCTCCTCGGTGGCCAGCAGATCTGAAATCCCCCAGCGCTTCAAACCTTTTGTCCCCCCAGAGTTACATTCCTCAGCTCATCGATCAGCTCATTGATTGGCTGAAGTCCAACAAGCCCCGCCTGGGCCTATGCCCCATTGTCCTAAACTTCACACCTCTCCCAGCCACTTCCACACAACCCCTGCTCCAGCACATTCCTCAAACCCCCTCTCACAGACACTTAATGCATGAAATGACCAGACTCCTACAAGTAAATATACTGTATCACATTATATCCATAATTAGGAGCTTTAAAACTTAAATTCCTCAGTCTATTCTCCATTTTTCTTGATTTAGAGAATATGGAGCACTGTCTGTAAACTTGCTTCCTATTTCATGCCAGCTTCTTTTGAAAGGTTGTATGACAAACACCAACCTCATCCTCGTCTTTAAATCCCGGCATGAATCCTGTTATTTGAAGCAGTCATTGACGGCGCCGTGTGGGGGATGCTAAGCTACCAGAAACTCTAAATCACATTTCAATGAATCCTGAGGAGGGGAACGCATTTACATTCAACATTATTTTGTGTTGTGACACAGTTCAGTGTAGTTTGTGTGAATGCTGGAGGAAGACCTGAGGCAAATCAAAAGAGAAACGCTAACACGTTTGTTATTACCTGTGACAGTGGCTGTATTCTCGCTGCCCGTTATGCTGGCGTACTGATCGGTTTATGTTGTCAGGTGACAGCATGAAGTGGTTCGGCGAGCAACCAGTGGGATTCAGTAACTGGGAGGACAGCTCTGCTCCAGCAGACCTCGTGCCCTTGGATACGTGTGTGGCTCTGCACACAAACACGGGAAAGTGGGAAAATGTCAGCTGCCTGGATCAGGCAGAGAATGGAGTGGTCTGTGAGACAGACCAGAGTAAGAATTAACATTCAAGGCCAAAATGTCTGTAGACCTGTTGAATAGCTGTTTATTGTGACTTCAGAAGATATGCTTGGGATTGTGTTCCACTTGCCTCACAATGTTTGTTTTTTTCCCTTCAGAGGCAGAGGAAGTCAAGCCGAGTAAGTCGACCTTAGAGCTGTTTTTGCTGTTTCTTTACTTATTCCTCAGAGATTTCTTTTAATAGCAGTGACCTTCCTTGCATTGTTACTTGTTCTCCTCCAGAATCGAGCGCACTGCTGTCCAGCCTGGTCATTCTCAGCGTGGTGGCTATCATGGGAGTCTCAGCGGTTATTTGGTTCCTGCACCAGAAACAAAATCCTGGCTCCACTATCCTCACAGCATTTGAGTACCACCCTCCGTTCCGAGTTCTGGACACAGACCGCTCCTGCCTGGTGGAGGCGGAGGAGACTGACAGCGTGCCGTAGGAGAATTCTATCTCTCTTCCAGGAGGCACCAGGCCCTCCCCACTGGGTGGGTGTTCACGCATAATCCAAGTCCACGTCCACTTTAAAAGAACAGTTAGTGAAGTAGTTTGGGGTTAATAACGTTAATGTTATGAATAATGTAGTGTGATTGTAAGAAAGCTGACACGAGGCAAACTTTTAATACTAGCGTCTCACTGTGGCACATAAACCTCTCACTGCGTTTTTGTCATCTGCACTAACAAAACATCTGTACATTTATTTCAGATTTGTGCATCAGCAGCTTGGTCTACATGTCAAGTGTAACATCATTATTATCAGGCAACTTTTGGGATAATTATTTCTCTCTTGCATATTAAAAGTAACTTGCTTTTGCTCATTGAAAAAGGGAGGGATCAAATATAGAGCAAAGCTTTCATTAATGTTCAGTGATTTAGTATTGCATTGCCACAAACTTGGGGACTAACAAGGGGGAGATATAAGAATGTTCAATTGATGCAGCAAAGACTAAGACGACCTCATGTTTAGTCCCTAGTATGTATCAAGCTCCCTAAAATGCTGGGTTCTACATTTCACATAATGCAACCAATCTCATGTTTGCGTTGGAGCCTGACTGCCTGGTAATGTTCATGTCTTTCAAACCAGTGGAGTGTCCCCTTTTTAAGCAGTATTCAAAGAAACAGGAACGCCAAATGACAGGCTATTAGGGGCACATCCATGTAAATAGCTCGATCGCAACATAAACCCAGCTGCAGTTTGAGACATTGCCTCGTTTTTCCACCCATGTAAATGTTGCCCGTGAGGGAGGTTTGCACAACGCGTAACGCAGAATATTTTCCAGGTAAATATATTGTTTTGAAATGACCAGCCGCCCTGAACCAATACTGCCAGAGAACGTTGTGGCTATTTTCCTTGCGTTCTGTCCTGGGCTTTTTTTTTTTTTTTTTTTTATTGTGACAAGGTGTGAGACCAACCGGAATATAGCCAGTAAAGCCAAGTTTAGTCAAAAATCATAACACTGATGAAACTGTCCGCATTCATTCCAGGATAGTTTCTAGGTGGTCATGAAAATGATCTACAATCACAGTTCTTCTGTCCTCTATGTACTCTCTTTCTGTGTTTCCTTGCTGCCCCATTAAATCCAATCTTGATCTTGATTTTGGTGTTGGAAATAATAGATCCTTCTGTGACACTAAAGACAATCAATATGTGGCTATGTGATGGGTATACTGAAAAATGAAGCCAAAAGACTTTCTTGTGTAAAATACCCCTCTTAATACTGTTGTACACTTTTAACAGCATGCATGCTTTTGTGCAATATTTGAGATTAACTGTGCAGGATCCGAGCCCCTGTGTGTTTTTCCTAATAAAGTATGTTTGACTATAAGAAGGGCTTGTTTTTGCTTTTCTTGAATTGATCCGAGTCAAAGTTCTATTGTAACAGGAAGCATTTGTTGTAATATGTACCTTCCAGCATTGGTTTGTCCAGAAGTGTGTCAAAAATATGCAGGTTGAGAAAAAAGAAACACCCTACATTTTGTGCAATCTAGAGCATTTCTGCTAAATATATATGTTGTGCATAACTGAGGAGTAGAAGGATAAATCGGGACACCAAAATTGGGGATAGAGTCTAATTGGTTCCGAAAGGATATCTAAATCATTGCCGCACCCTTCAAATGTCCAGTGGCTCTGTTTGACATCTCAGCGTGGGCCGGAATGAAACGGAGCTGAGGGAAGTGAAAAAAATGTTTCCTTTCCAGTCATGCACATCTAATTTTAGACTTCCAAGAAGTCAGTCATCTAAAATATTTTCTTTAAATCTCCGCTGTGTATGTCTCCTTTCTTTGAGTGCTTTCTATCAGTTTTTGTTTTTTTTACATCTAGCTATAAACTATCAAAGGCATTTGATTTATTGATGTAGCACAACTAATAGAGAACCATAACAATAACCTTTTCCTCCAAGCAGGTCATTTCTAGATTTGGCCACAAGGTGGGACAGTGAATCACATTTCTGTCAAGTCACTTCTCTGACATTGCTGGGAGGGATTTTCTTCTACTTGTTAATGAGGTCCGGAAACATGGACGATAATCCGTTTGATGGTTGTGTGAGTATTTGTTGTTGGTTAATCTATAGGAATACGGATTTGTAAAGATGACATACCTGTCTCTAGAGGAAACAAATACCATGGAGTAGTAGATGAGGCACCGAAGAGCCGGTGTAAAGTTATAGAAAGCTTATCATGTCTTCAAGCTGAGGTGAAAGTCCTTGATGATTAAAAAAGTAATGTGTCCCGCTGTGGTGGCCAATAATTAACAATGTTATGCAAGATGAAGTTCCAAACAGCAGAAAGGGCCTGAGCTACATAAGAGCATGGCTGCAGTGTGGGGGTCATGTCATTATGTTATAAACTGTTGCTTCTCTCAAGGTGTGGTTAAAGAATTCCATCACAGAAAATGATGACGTTTGAAAAGAGTCTTGAGTATACAGAGCTTAAAGGCTCATTTTATGATTGAAATATGAACAAAAAGCCCAACCACTACAACTCAAAACACAACCAAATCCGTCTGGAACTGATTGACAGGTCTTGACATAATAATGACGAGACAACACTATCTATCTGTAAGGATTTGTTTTGTTTTTTTACTCTGTCACACATTTGTTTGCTGTATATCAATATGACTTCATAAACTGAATAATTGTCAAAGTTAAAAAGGCGTATAGTCAAGTTGAAAAACACATTAAACTAAACTGATGTTTATTCATTACTCTAACATGCATTACTTCAATTGTATTGCAGCTGAAATGTACAGCCTGGGCCCTTTAAAGTGCCTCAATTGGTGATATTTAAGCGGATATTTATTTCTGTGTTTATGTACCATATTTTGCCAAAGCCAAAGAGGGATTCACACTTGTTAACATGCAACAAAGTATATCATTTAAAGTGATGTAGTAGCTGAATGCTGTGTGTAAGCCTCCGTTTGAATGGAACCCCTAATGGCACATTTAGAAAGCTTGGAGTGGGATTGTAAACTGTATACACATTGTAGTCTGGTCTCTGAATTGCTGTCCTCATCTCAGATGTTTTAGCAATTCTAATAGAATTAGTTAAGAATGAATAATGATGATTATCCAGCTGCATGAGGCCTGCTGAACCTACAGATTTTTAATTTGTTGTAATGCTAATGCTCCTGTTTGCCAACAGTTCCAACAGAGAAAAACACATGTTGACATGCAAAAGGATGGTTTTCCTAAATGTGTTTTCCTGCACTGGCAGAATAATCATAATTGTAATTATGATAATTAATTGTAGCACTAATACACTGAAAAGCCTCATTTGATTTTTTTGGGAAATAATGGAGTAGAATTTAATTAATTACGAACCTTTTGAGGCATAATCATTTATTTTTTTGTAAACATGTAGCTTAAGTGATTTATGCTATAACATCCCCAACATTATCTTTTTTTTTGTTTAACTGTGTATGTGTGTGTGTGTATTTTTGTATTTTATTACCATAGAGGGGCTTTTTTTTCTCATCACAATAGCTCTAATGGTTTATTTCCACTCAAATAATAGCACATGAATTTCGTTCTTCACATCTGCCATGGGGCTGCTTGAAGCAGGAAGAGGTCTACGTTGACCCACAGTGACTAATTAAAATGGACATTGGTATGCATGAATAAGATATGACATACAGTAGCATGACAGATGGAACGTAAATGAGAGCCACACTGGATTACAAGACATCAAGCCTGTGGATTTCAAGTTTTGCGTCAACAAACTACAACAGGCTTCACGATGTCTTAAACTTGTAAATACAAAAGAAACAGTACTAACTCTGGCCTTTGTGTAAATACAAAAGGGTCAAATCATTCAGAACTCTTTCCTGTCTTTCTGGTTTCATCACAATCCCATGTGTCTTTTTCTCAGGTCTCTACGACATATCAGCTATTTCTTTTCAGCTCATCCTCTATTCATGTTCCTGTCTTTCCTGGGCAAGGTGTCAGTGCACAGTAGGGTAGAGCATCTATTTCTCATGTCCAGGAAGTCTCATGTTCCCCCCCATTCACTATCCTGGAACATGCTCCAATTAACAGGGAAACCATATTAAGATGACTGCACACTGACCGGCCATAGAGAAACAGTAGTGTACTCTATTATATTATGTCAAGGCATGGCATACTACACTACTTTACCACCTACAGGGCTACCATTGTATTAAATGATTCATTTAGCATAATGCATGGAAAAAAAGACCGACTGTAAGTGTATCGTAAGAAGATACAGTGTGATTAAAGCTCCAAGCACAAGCTAACATCTTTACCTGACAACTCACATGGTGTGTGGCAGATTTTTGGGATTGGTTAGCTCAGAAGTGTTAAAAACACTGTACTAGATTTTAAACTGCATGTTTCACACACAAGCAAACACACGTGCGCGCACACAGATGCAAACTTAAGCGATGAATATATACCCAGTTTTTTTTTAGCTCAGACACTGTGCCATTTTCTAAATCAAATGCATATGCAGTGCTGGAAGGCGTTGGTGTTAAAGGGATCAGCGCATCGTGTGCTGACATGATTAAAATCTTCATTATTCAAATATGTCAGGACAAAAAAAAAATAAAAATCTGTGACAGAGAGTCCAACTCTTGTGCCTTACGGGTATACTGAGCTTTTTGTGGACTGATAGAAAAATAATAATTAAAAACAAAAGCACCATCTTAATTTGTTTTCCATCGGTCTCTAGAGAGATCATCTTTGCTGTGTCTTTGGTACCTCATTATACTTTCTAATCAAGACTCTTTAAAAATCCCTTTAAAAAGGAGACAGACTGTTTGCCCTTCCCCCAGCATGCTGCTGCATTGCAGCCATCGGCTGCGACTACTATGTTACAAATGACCAAGGTAGGCTGACATTTTGATTGTGCAATGTGAAAAACCGTGGCCGGAAAAAAGGCTTTTGAAAGTGAAGCTAGCCCTGATCTCTCGCATCACTCATTCTCCCTAATGAAGATTGTCCAATACAATTAAAAACCCAGGTATCCTGTGGCTCGGGTGATACATTTATCAAATCATGTTTTCCCCTCTCTCACCATGTGTGTTAATCCAGCCAGACGTGTGTGTTTCACTCAGTCCACTCCTGTGACTGCAGCTTACAATCTACAGAAATGACACAGAATTAGAAATGACAAATTTATTTCTAAAAAGGATTTTTTCCCCCCACATCTTTAATTAAAACATGCCTTTGTGCCTTAATTGCTGTATCATATTAGCTCAGCTTCATGTAAAGTGTGCTTTGGCAAAAGTGGCAGTGCCATGAATTGATATCCGCTTTATCCACTAAACACATATTTCACAAAACGCAGCATGTTGCAACGTACTGTAATTACGAAATGAAACACTGGAATCTTATTACCTTCATTCTAATCTCCAAGAACAAGCACATACTGATCTTATTCTATAATAATTCATTACAAAATATATATATAATTTGTGGCATTCAAACACTGATCTACAGCATTACATACGTCCACATCAGCAATACACTTTCTGTTACATTGTTTCGATTACACTGCGTTGTAAATGTTTGCTCTCGAGTCTAATGATAAAACCTCACCCCATTTCCTGTTGCAGATTGAACACTTCCTTAGTGGTGAGACAAAAAAGACAGATGGTTGTCCTTGTCCAACTGCAGTCACTTTATTAGGTGAAATGAAAGGTATTGTAATGCCTCGTTAATAGTTTCTCTATCGCATTTTCACCTTCATTTGATTCTGGTCTGATTTGAGCAGTCCATACTTTCAGACAAATTTAACAAAAATGTTCTTTAATTGACATTCATACCTAGCATCCCTTAAATAAAGAGCTTGAGCTGCTCCCTTTAAGAAAGAGGTATGGACTCTTCTGTGCCAGGTGATCCACAAATCAATGTTTAAGTATGTGGAAGAATGCAGTTATTGGCAGTCTACATGAATGTGGGCCTCTGTATTTACCAGCACTGGTGCACTGTAAAAGAGCACCTGTCTTACATGTTTAACTTGTTCTTATTAATTAGTTTTCCAGTTTAAATTACAATTATCTTGCATTTGGATGTTACCTTTTCTATTTTAGTTTTTGTGTGTTTGTTGTTGGATGAGTTTGCTTTGATGTGTCTGTTTCTACGATGTTGCAATCTAAATTGTGCTTGTGGAACAATAAGACCAACCTGGACCGTTGTCCCAATTCAAGCATCATCAAATCTTTAAAATAAAAATAAAAAGACTTTGCTTTTCAGATATTACACCACACACTTTACGCTCAATGTCTCTGTCAGCAAGACCTATTGTGCCAGGATGTGTGCAGTATAATCCACCACCAAAGTACTCTGTCTTTTGCTCTTTATTAGAGTTAAATAAGTATCAGACCATATCTAAAATCAGTTTAAAGCCTGCAAATTTGTAGCATCAAAAAAAAACAAAAAAAAAAAATGGTTTTCACTGTCACCACGCTTGTAAATGACAGCACCTATATAATACCTGTTTGTGAGGGAGTTCATGCATCTATTTACCTCTATAGGCTACATATATGTCGTCTAGAGTGATGAGCAGTGTAATAATATATCATTAATACAACACCGTGGTGATGACAATGCCTGCATCATCATTTAATTTATGGTAGCCTGTCATCATTATTTTTTTATTTCTTTACATTGGTGGCTCTACATTTAGAGGGCATCAGCTGCGCTCATCCCACAGACACGAGGAGTGCACCCACACATGTTTTACAGTATTGTGTGCAGTCGCTGGCTGCAGGTTTTCGGGGAGCAAAAGTTTGCATTGTAGAAAAGCCCTGAGCTGACGTCACTTCTGTCGAGTTGAAGCGGAGGAGAGAGTCTCTTCAATCTGAGACTAAACGTTGGAGAGCAACACGCTCGGTCACACTCTCCATGCATCTCTTTCATCAACCCCTCCAAAACTGCGCAGAAACTGGGAAGTAAATCAACACAGTGTTTGCACCATTTTGCCTTTTTTTTTTTTCTTAAAAGGAATACACCGGTTTTTTTTTTTCCCCCGACGATAAGGTGAGTTTATGTCAGCTCGCTAGGTGTTTGTCAGCGTGTGTTCAGGAATATATGTCACAGATTTATGTCGCCTGGGCTAACAGCTAAGCTAACGGTTTTTTTTTGGTTTTTTTAATGTCGCTAAACCAGTAGCATCCCTCTCTACACTTGCCTCACTGAAGCGTTATCCCCTCCGTGAGGTTAAAAAAAAAAAAAAAAAAAAAAAAAAAAGTAAGTTCATGTGAAAGTAGATGCTAGCGTTTGCGGATGTTTCTGATTCAAACTTTGTGCAAAAGGTCCCGTTGCCATGTCGAGCTTGTTACTTGTTCACTAGAAGAATGTTCGGAGGAGATATCATGACGTTAACATGTCACCCCCGGTATCGGTACTTGGCACAGGCAGACATGGCAGACGAGTATGCATGCATGCATGCAAGGAAGGAAGGAAGGAAGGAAGGAAGGCACCGCTGCTCGGTCTTGTCATTTACCTTGCAGCGTGGATCTTGTCTTTGTTGCCAGCTAACGTATAGTCCACGCTGAGGATCCACGGTTGATGATGCAAACGTGAACATAAGTTATCTCGTTAGGCGTAATCGGAGGGTTTTTAACTCTCTGCACACTCGATCCAAGAGTGCATCACTTCTAAAGTAGTGCATGGTGTAACCGCTTGTTGTGGTTCCAAGCTTCGTGTGACAGCAAAAACTGGATATAACACAGGTGGGCTTTGATGATGTTTTATTTCAACACTAAGATATTAGTACGAGTGTTAAAGCCCGCTGGTCTCGTGTGTCTCTCTCTCCCCCCTCTCTCTATCTTCTTCTCTTTTTGTTGCTTCCTATTAAAGGAGCGCGCGGCTAATGCTGCAGCTGCTGTCTGGCCTGAAATTTACCCTTTCAGATTATGACAATACCCTCCATTTTTTCTCCTGCTTTCATATTAACAACAAGGCATTCGCCATCTTGGGGGTATTTAAATTAGATTATCGCTGTCTATTTAAGCGGTGTTTTTTTTTTTTTTTTTTCTGCAACAAAGTTATGAAACTTTGGAGGAAGAAAATATTTGAATGATGCACCCTTTATTTCTGTGACGTTGAAAGTGAAAGCAATATGTTGTAAGTTTTGTGGAGTTTGATTCAGGCTAGTGAGATTTCACAACTGACTTGAGTATGTTATGAAACTGCAAACCAACCACTTCCCTGTTCCTGTGATGACATGTCACACATGTGGCTGAGCCCTAGTAATTCACTTTTTAAACATTGTAACGTTAGTGGCTGTAATAATCATCTGCTACAAACACTAACTCGTTTAGAATTTAGGGGATATTTTAGTGTCCTGATGTCTTCCATGTGTACCATGTTTTTATTTATCTTGGGCGTACTTGGCTCACTCTAAATTATAGGAAACTTTTTTAGAATTATTTGAATAACAAACCATTCTGTCAATTCTGAACACACACAGGCCACAGAGGCACAGACGTTTTACTACGTTTTAAATGCAACTTTAAGGTAAATTCTACAGCATTTTACAAACCTTTTGCCCCTGAAATTAATTAAGACCATGCTCGAGATACGTTAACTTGAATAGGCCATTTTCACAGCAGACATCTTGACTTCTTCATAGTTGGGAGAAGCCTGTTGCTAATAACATCAACGATGACTTTGTTGTATTCAAGTGTCCGAGTATAAGCACTGACCGTGTGACAGTGAGCCGGCATGCACAATACCAGGAGCCTGAAAACAGAAGCACCAATGGAATTCAGCCATCCTTCATTTTATTATTTCCTACAGTCACATGTCAAAATCTATATAGAAACAGGTGTGTGGATTGTTCAAACCTGGAAATGAACTTGTACTGGGCCCTTTTGTAAACTTTGTCATGGCAGCATCAACCACACTTTTTTTATACAGCAGTGTTGTGGCGCTTGATGAGTTGTGAGCGACTGATTCTCAAAGAGCTTATTTTGATGCTGTAAATGCTACTTGCGTCATTTGGTTTGTTTTGGCAGGCATCTTTTGTTTGCCGCACAGTGGAGCTGGGATTTGCCTTTACTGATATAATTGATAGTAATGAACTCGTGTGTGCCCTTTGCACACAGACACACGGTCCTGACTGAAATGGCAGTAAACATTATTCCTGGTAAAGTCCATCATTTAAATGGCTTCAGTGAGATAAATCAGATCATAGCCTTGATGTGTTATGCATGCATCCAGTAACTGCCAATGAATCAAAACACAGGTAGAAGGTCACTAAATTTGCCTCATATTTATTCAGAGCACATGTCCTTGAAAACCTCTGCAGAGAGAACAATGCTGAGGTGCTTTATGCTTGCATTCTAATATGAGCCTTTAATGTTTAACAATCTTAAAAAAAATAGTGCAGATGTTGCTCTTTCATGCTCCTACGGCTCATGGTTGCCACATTATTCACAGTGCTGTGTAAATCATATTAAAATGTCTGTAGGCCCTCTTGTTATACAGAATATGTGAGTGCCTCCTTTTTTTTATGTTCCTTTGGCTGTTTTTCTTTTGGCCTTTTGGCCAAACACAGGGAAGAAAAAAACAAACTGGACTGCTCTGCTAATAATTGTTTTCACCGTGTCTCTCCTATATTCTTACCCTTTTCCACAAGTTTGCACTCATTAATCAAAGATGCTGGCCTCCTGCTGAGGGCTGAGCAGGTTCATCAATTTGGCAGCCAGCTTGCTGTAAGGAACAATGCAGAGGCTCTTAACACACAAGCATAAATAAATCTATGGTCTTTATATGCAAGCCCTGAAGGTTAATACTGTATAATTCAATGTACCCTCTTTGTCTGCCGTGATTGATGTTTTTAAACATGTAGGGCTTGACGGGAGTCCCTTTTTGTAGGTCAGTGTTGACACTTTATGATTGGGGGAGCTTGGGGGGAGCGGCACGAGGGAGGTGGATTATTAGGAATATGTCAGGGAGATTACTCTTTTTCACTCATCTTGCTGATCTATTTTCTCTCCGCCTGGAGATGCTTTTCGCAGTGCTTTTATTTGAGCCAATCATGCTTCTGAGATTGAAGTCTCCCTGCTGTGTAAACGGGGGCTGATGTTTAAAGTGCTAGTAGTCTGGTCTATTTGTTTGACTGTTTTTAGTATTTATTTACCTCCTTTTGCTGCAAGAATTGCAGGCCAGCTGGGAATGAATGAAGTGGCTCCATAGACATAATTCTCAGTCAGATAGGTACAGATCCAATATGAACCTTTTTGTCCAGTTCTTGTTGTAAACCATTCCACTCTCACACAAAAGGCTGTGCATCAGCAGCCCACTTTTTTATTGATCCTCAAGCATTTAAAATCTGGTCACTGCTGCCACAAACACTTCCTACTTGAGCTGCACTAGGCATGCTGCTGCAGCCACATTTTTAAATATTCTGGCCTGATAAGAGACGGGGAGAAAATACAGTTTTTCCCTAGAAATGTTTGGATCAGCAAAGGCCAAAACTCTAAGGCTTAGTGAATCGAATTGACTAAATGTTTTCCGCACCCTGATGAGACACGGCGCTGGCAGTGGGCATGCATCTTCATTGCCTTTCTGTCTCGTACTGCGAAAATGTGCACGTTGTTATTTTTGAATAAAACACCATGAAAGCACAGACCTTTTCCATACAACTTTAAACAAACTCCTTTTATTGAAATGCTCTTAAGTGTTTTAGCTGAGTGGTTAAAATGATCCACAGGTAGAGTAGATTATCCTGAAATGATCTCAATAAAATGAAAATAAAAAATCTCTTCAAGGACACCACTACTGAAGGCAAATGCTTATTGCATCCCTTCCAATAGGTAAACCAACACACCTTACGTATGAATGTCTCAGTGCTTTCTGTGTTGCCATTGAATGTATTGTTGCGCATGTAAAACCACATTGACTTCATTTGTAGGAGATGGTGTTTTGTCAATGCTAAAAGGGTGAGATTTACAAATGAAGAACAGATATTAAGCCTCTATATTCACAACAAACCCAATGTTCACGCTGACCTCAAATAATGCTATACAAGGACTGTCAATTAGACTGCGAAGAAGGAACCTGAGTTTGGTACCCGGGTTTATTATTGGTTATGACTCGTGACTTGGTAAATAGCGTTCTGTGTCGGGAGGCCAATGCCATTATGTGCCAGATAGATGGATAGATGAGTAACCTGAGGAGGCTCAGCCTTGTAGTAATTCAAAGACTGGTTGCAGAGTGACCTTTTCCCTCTTCATATTGAATGAAACATGTAAGTGTAGAAGACAGTAATCTCTTTTACACTGGTACTCACGCTGCAGAATGAGACAGATGGAACTGTAAGGTGACCCGCTTGTAGATGACGCACAACAAGTGTCGCTGCTACTCATGTGAGAGCATGGAGGTCGTCGGTTATGAGACATCCAGTGTTTACTGTTGCTATTAAGAGCTGATTTAGAAAGCACAAAGACGAAGGGTGGCACAGTTTCTATATTGGAAAATAAATGTGGAAGATGAAAGCGGCCAATCTGTTAATTCGATTTAGATCCTTAGTAATGTCTATCTGAGCAGAGAAGGAAGTTGCTCTCCCTCTGTGTGTTGTAATCCAAGCTTCTCCTTGCTTTGTTGACCTAGCTTTGCCTGTGCTTTTAGTGCATGTTTGTGTGCGCACGTGAGCTGCACTGCTCTCATACTGCGGTTACATCTGATAACGCCGTCCGGAAGCATAGCAATCGCCCTCCGGTTCCCTCTCAGCTAAACACTGTTAGCTCTGTCAGCACTTTTTGCTGTAGTTTGCGCTGTTAGCACCGTTAGCTGCGAGTTGCCGGCCAGGTTGTCGCCATGTTGAGAGCCGTTGAGAGGCAATAGAAATGCTCCCAATCCAGTATATTGCACCTTTAACCATTTTGCGATGGAATCTTTTTGCATTTTTTGTCTCAAAGTCAGTGTGTTTTTGAAAGTTTTTTTTTTTCTTTTGGTTCGATGCCTGAAATAAGGTCTGTGGTTAACACAAGTTTAAGAGATGTTAACGTTTTGTTCAACGATGAATCGTACGTCAGTAATCATACGTTGTACAGTACTTGTGAATTTCGAAGCTTTTAAATGTCTTAAATAAGGCGGTTGCCTTACGCCGGTTCCGCCTTCGCGGTCTCGTGTCTACTCGCGCTCCTTTGACCGAAGTGTAGTTTGTTTAAAGCCTAACATACTCGTATCAAAATCATAAAATGATTTATTTAGATTATCCTGCTGAACAAAACTTGTAAGTATCATAAACTTCTTTTTTTGCTACAGAGCTTATTTTCCCATTGGCTTTTTGTTGAAGGGAACCAGAGCAATGTCCTGGAGACACCTCGATACCGAGAACTACACAGAGGCGGTTTAAGGTACTGCCAGATGTTTGTATTTTGTCACTGCGATAGCATCGCAACTGGGCAAGATGCAATGACAAATCTTTACAGGTGTGTAGTTGAGATCAAAATGAAGGTTGGGTTTGGGAGATATGCTTGTTCTAAGCAAGGGTGCAAGAAGTAGGGGGTTAGGAAGCAGAGAAGGGGCCCCTCCACTTTTTGCCCCCGGCCCCATTCGGCGTTGCGGCTGGAGTGATCCCATCGGCCTCTGGTTTGTTCCATTTCAATAGAGGATCTCCTGAAGTGCCTGTAGTCGTCTTCAATAGATGAATAAAACCTTTATTGTATCCCGTTAGCATGGGAGCTCACTCCTTTGATACTGTTAGTTGGCTTGCAGTCCTTTGTAAACTAGAATATGAGGATAATATTACAGCCTTCCACTCTTTAAAACCACACATATATGCCACGAGCCTAACCGTTAGAACCCCTTTCCTTATCCAATAGTGTACTAAAGAGGGACGCTGTTTAAAGGGGAGTGATGTACTCCTCTCAGTGACAAGCCTCTGAGTTTGCTATTTTTTGGATGATTCGTACAACTGATAGTTTCTGAGTTGCATGTTTAATAATTAAAATACCTACTGCAGAATATGCTCTGTTTGTATTTAATTTGTTACAGTCAGAAAGTAAGAGACATCTGATGAAAATACAACATGATTCAAAAGTTTTTGTTTGAATTGTAATGGTATTATTAGGTACTCATATTGGTACTAGGTATCGGCAAGTACTCAAATGTGAGTACTTGTACTTGATGAGAAAAAAACCATTGTAATGGTGCATCAGAGTTAAAAGTATGTCTACAGTTGCGAAGGGTCTGGAGATTTCTGGAAATTGGATTTGGGTTTTTGAAAAAAAAAAAAACATTTTTCAATATAACAAGGGTATCTTTTTAATAGTGAACTTATTTGGGGAAATACACAGAATCATGCATGAAGTCCATGGAGAGGATATGGAGGCCTGTTTGAAGTTTTTTTTTTTCTTTTTTTTTTTACAGGGGGTCATAGGGAATGTTTGTCGTTGTGCAGTGAAAGTTTAAAATAATGTCAAATGAGGTAACTCATCTAACTAAAGTTCAACTAAACATTTTTTTTTTAGTAGAGGTGTTTCCAGTTATGTCTGTTTATGATATAATATAAAGTTTGTTTCTATCTGCATGACATGGTTAATACAGCCTGTGCAAAAGAATCGGTGTATTTCCATTTTATTCATGATATTCCTCGTTAATTCCTATGGAAAGTTTCCACCTTGAGTAATCCAGAAATTATGCAACCCTGTGATGATATAGATCTTCAGAACCCAGAGTTATTGTTATTGTTCTTTGGCATTTCTATATTTCTCTTTGATATAGTCTAGAGTTACTATACATGACCATAAATTCGCTGCTCTTATGGTTGTAGAGACACCTTTAGTGGGTCAGTAGTTTTGAGTGATGTATGAAGACTTGGTTTAGACTCTATTTCCTTTACATTCCAAACAAAATGAACCCACATGGTAATGCATAGTGTACATGTGGTTTGCAGGGCCTAACATATGTCTACTTTGTGATGAAATGAGAGGATTAAAGATAAACATTGCTTCATCTTCACACATTTTAAAACAATTTCCGTAGAAGGGGAAGACTTTTTTTAGCTTTGTATTTGAGTGTTTATAAAAATGTTTCAGTTTCTAATCAAATTAAAGACATTTATTCAATACAGTTTCCTAAGGTGATTGGATTTCTGTAAAGTCAAAGTGTGGCTACTCTTGTTGTACGCACTTGACCATAATCCAATTTCTGCCGAGTGTTTTGTCTCGTGGAGCAGGAGTTTGATTTTCTGCTGATGTTAAGAATGGATAACTCATCTCCCTTTGGGCTCCATATTACCATTTTTATTTCATTTCCACAGAGCCTTCGGATAGCAACAATGCTGAATGAGTAAATCGATAAAAGCAAGCAATAAATCTGACTGTTTCGTGTTTCAGGTGCAGTGATGTCACAGAACTGAGGACAGCGCTCATACGAGTAAGTGTTTGGTTACGTCACTGCCATTGTGCTCTTTGAAGTGTCTCTTTTGATTTCATAAAGGAAAAACCAGTTTGCTTTGTTAAATTGGGGGGGAAAAAAAACGTGTAAATGGAAATGCAGGACTAAGCAAAACACCCCATTTTTAAGTATTATTTAGGTGTAGGATTAGAATTTTCCAATTAGTTTGAGATTTAACAATGTCCTCCTTTATGAAATTAGTTTGTGCTGCATTACACTTTGCTCTCATTTTGTGTGTATCTAATTAATTCCTGTCTTTCTTAGAATTAAAGGGTTGAAGCTTCAGAACATATTTAAATCTCTTGGGGGAGAAAAGAGAACTTTTTTTGACTAAGGGGTGTATTAAGATAAATGACTGTGAGCCAAACAGGCATAATTGGCGGGATTGAAGCTATTTTTTTGGCTTTGTTTTCAAATTTAATTTGGGCTGCTCCACAGATACAGATGTTTCCTGGTTGCTATTTAAAAACTGCCCCAAGACAGAGGTGGTGGTTGTTTCAAATTCACTTCCTCTCATCCTGAGCTCTACTCTATCAGAAAGTGTGACATGCGTTTTTTTCTCTGCATGCAAATATTTGCTGCCAAATTATGAGAGTTAAATTTGCAGTTTTGAAAGTGCAGTTCATTTTCTCTCTTGTACACGCTCCGTTGTGGAATAGGAGTCAGTTGATGAGAAGTGTTTATCACAAAATAGTTTTCTTTTCCCAGACAAATGCACTAAATCAACAGTTTTAAAGCTGACACAGCTGAAATGAAACGTACTGTGCTGCAAGTGAAATATTTTCCAAAAGGAAATGATTCTGCTCTCTAATTGAATTGTTGACTAATCCGATATAGTTGAGCGATCAATGCTACTGTTTCTGGAAGAATCCGTGTTCACCTTTACCGTTGAATCCAACCTTTTTCTCCTTTGTGTCTTTGCTCCTCTGACTCCTTTGGTGCTACTCTTTCAACATTAAGTAAAACCCTAAAGGGGGGAGTGTGGCTGCTGCTTATTTACCCTCCATGAAGCAAAGAGTGCTGAAGCTGTGCCATGAAATTTACGGCATGCACACGGCCACCTCCCGATCGAGAGGGAAAAAAAGTCTCCCACTGTTTATGTGAATGACCCTGGAAAGAGACAAGCCCAGTTGAAATGGCGAAATGAGCCTCGCCACAGGAATACCATCCTCTCTAGAGCCGAGCACTCTCCCTTTCACTTGTGTGTAGTAGAAGCCCTCAAGGATTTATTAGAGCAGTTATGAGTAACCTTCAGTTTGGAGCCCAACCTTAGGTTTCAGAAACAGTTGCCAGGTTGGCAAGATATAGTCATCCATTGCTTTTGGTTGCCAGAAGATGACACAACGGTTTCTGTACATTAATTGCATAGTCCTCGTATGAGTCATTAAACACGTATTAATGAATGATAAACAATGGCTTCAATAATGGTGAAACATATGTTGTCTCTCTGTTATACACATATTCACACTTCACACTCAAAACCATACTTTTTAAAAGTTGAGTGACTATGTTCATATTTTGAAGTTGGTTTACATTGTGCATCTCTGATCGCTTTGTTTAAGCTGCAGTTCCTCGATTAAAAGCCCTGCTTTGCCTCTTATAGTTTGATCAAAATCAATGAAAGTTTACTATTCTTTTTTTTTTTTTTTTTTTTTTTAACAGATAGTCTAAATTTGGTTTCCCAGGCAAACTGGACAAAACTGCTACTGTTGAACTGTGACCAGTGAGCCCATTCTCCCTTTGCTGAAGAAAGGAGGGGAAAGGAAACAAATTAAGAAAGAATATGTGAAAAAAGAGTGATGTGGAAAAGGATTACGAGGTGTTAATGAGGATACACTTCCAGGAGTTAGTCCCTACCTGATTTCTGCTAAACACAATGATCTGGTAATTTTTGTCAGCTATAGTCCAACCCTCCCCAGCAATGTTTCAAATTGAAGAAAAGAGGCAAGACACACATGTACAGAGAGAGACCTAGACTAACTTTAATCAAGCTAAAAGAAATTTAAATCAGCACTTCATTGTACAGCATGTGCCTGCAGCTGCTTTTTAGTAAAAGCCAGGCGGTGCTGCCATTCATTTCTATACCACTTGAACACAATGGAGATACAGAGCACACAAAGGGCATGTCTGGCTCCAGACAAAGCAGACGTGTTTATTTTCAGAGGAATTGTTAAGGGAGACAAAGTGAAGCAGGGCACGTTCCCTCACACTGTTCAAATGTCAGGTAAATTATAATCCAATAAACATATTAGTGTTCGTACGATTGTATTTTAAATAAATAGTTCAGTTAATTTAAATATTTTAGTGATTTTTGCAATTTCAACTTTTGTTATTTTTTTGTAGTTTACAGAATGTTGGGATGAGTTGGTGTAAAGTGGTATCAATCACTTCCAGTATTGATATTCAGTATTACTTCAAAGGTGAAGGCTTTTAAAAGGCTCTTAATACTAGAGAGAGAGAGAGAGAGAGAGAGAGAGAGAGAGAGAGAGAGAGAGACCACAGTTTCCCCCCTCTTTGTACAATATTGATGGCTTTCAGGTAGTAACTTTACAGCGCCGGCTGTATTTTGTGACTTTGCCAGAAGAGCGAACAGATTGCTGTGGCTATGTAATTTGATGAGGTCGTACATGGAGCCCACTCTCCTTTTGCTCTCCACGTTTCTCTGCCCAGAGGGGCACTAAAGCACATGTGAAGTGATGAAAGAACTCTGTCAATGGCAAATCAAAGACTCGCGTCAATGATGCAACTATGAGACGTGTCGGTTTCATGGATACCGCATTCACACCGACTGTTCTCAGAAGTTTAATGAACACACGGGCACATTTAACAATGTGCTGTATAGTCCAGAATCACTGGTTAGGTCAGCGGTTATGAGATTATTATGAGATTAATGAATACAAATTAAAAACCTGCATGTTTTAATACAACGACATAAAGATACCAGAGATCTTGAAATTCCTCAAGGCTCATAACGTCATGTATAGGTTGCTGATCGAAGAAATAAAATGAATGGCAAACATCTTTGCTTCTGGAAAAACTGAGCCAGAGATATTGCCTCATATTAGCCTTATCTAGTCCTTAGGGTTCCTCAGAACATCGTTTTGAATTTTTGATATGACGGTAGATCACCGAAGTGCTTGATGGTGATGGTTCACCTGTTTCATAGGATGAAGTCAGCATCGATTCGTGCAAGTCAGACACAGAGGGACCAGAGCAGCGGTGCACATTCAGCAGCATCACGCAGATTTTTTTGTAATGTCGATTTGCAGTTGTCCCACTTAACTGGGAGGAAGTTAGTCTAGCAGAAAGTGGTTTGAGTTCCAGACAGCTGCGGTCACAGAGGCTGGTTTCTTGTCAATGAAGTGGAAAAAATGACTGTATGTTTCTCTTCTGGGGTGAGAGGTCTGGGCCGGACAGGCCTCGGTTTTAGGGACAACACCGGCATGGTCTATTGGGAACTGTAGGCCTGCAAGAGCGTCTCTGAGGTGTGCAGATGGCAGTGAGGAAAATTAAATTTTGTCACATGGTCATGGCCAGCTGCCTCATGTTCCATCTTTACTGACTGCATTAAGTCTTCATTGGTCGACAGAGATTTTAAAGTCTCCATCAGTACACAGCAACATCGTGCATCACAAAGTAGAGATCCTGTAGATCGTGTCTTGGAGAAAAGCTTCCAAAGTCATTTCTGGCGGGGCTTGGTTTTGAGGACAAAGATTTGTTCTATTTAGATTAACCTAGACATTCTCAAACCTTGTAACTGCTTGATTATAGATCTCAAAACAGATGTTCGAATATTACCAATGCTAATAAAATGTGCCGGATGAGCGTTTTGTTGGCAGCCTATACCGGACCTTCGCAGAGAGGATCTGTGGTGTCAGCGCTCAGACGGCTGTGGAGGGGACACCAAGGTGAACGGCAGGTTGTAGAATGGTTAGAAATCATTGATATTCTGACTCGGAGGCTGCAAATGGCTTGGTGGCAGATGGAGTCTTTTGTCAGGGAAGGAAAATGGCAGCTTGGGAGCATCAACGCCGTTTTCCCTATCAGCTTGGCTGGCGGGCGGTGACCTTCTGCCGCTCTAAGAGATCCCCTTGCACATGATCAATTATCTCACTTCCATTGTTTACTGGGCCGGTGGAAAATGATTCAAATGTCTGAGATTGTATGTGTAATTATGAAGTCGGTGTTTATTGTTGATGCATAATGAGGAAGCAAATCCTAGTTTGTCTTCTTGTACCCTTTTAATCACAGTAGAAAATAAATCGGTGCAAGATTGACACACACACAACCAATACATGGCAGCTGTTTAGCTCCATTTATTTCATGTTGTTACAGAATTATTGTAATTGATTTTAATGATTTCCAACAGTTCTTTAAACAAAATTGTTAATGGAAGCGATTCCTCAGGAGTAAGGCTATATCGCATTAAGTGGTTTTCATTACCTTATCTGACTCAAAATAGATAATTTGCTCAGGTTAAAATGTCTATGCAAATAAGCATGTTTATTCTATTAATTCGGTAATGGCTCTTCTCACTACACAGATAACACAGGCAAACAGAATGAAATGGTGATATGCAGTCATTATTTCCGGCTGTAAACAAATCTAACTCGGAATAAAATATCGTGTGAACCTGGGGGAAAAATAAGGAAAATGAAGAAAAACGATGCAAAAAGCAGATGACATTGAGACCCCAGTTTAATATGTATGTATTTCAGCTTGATGGTTGATTTCATTAGCGGTTCTCATTGTTATGCACTGACTGTCCTCCTGCAGTAAAATGGTAATATTGTATTCACTTAGCCTCGATATTGAAGGAAGTGTTTGGATTTGAGTGGCTTCCTTCAGAAAAAGTGTTGTCCTCCTCCAGATTCTGATTATTATTAATTATATTGCTACAATATATAACATATTGATCTTCATTCATTCCAAGATTTTGAATGTTATGTGCTCTAATGTCATGTGTTATGTGATCTGTC